ATCATCGACATTGTTTCATCTGTACTCTATACTACTTTTTCAAAACCGAATAAGTATTTTTCGAAATTTCGTTCACTTTCACTGGGGGAACTTTTCTGGCAAAATTACGTTCCCTTACAAACATCAAAACCAATATGAGTTATTAAGTATTCAAAATAATTACATCTCTTGTTATGGTTAAACAAGAAACGTAATCTCTTTTAGTTTGGTAAATCATCGCTATTCCGAGCAATGCAGGAACCCTTTACACGGTAATGGCAATCGTAACCCAGGTACGGGATGTTAATCAAACCTGTAAATGGCCCATCGGTGGTCATTGGCCAATAACTGTTTGTACCCAACCTTTTGCCCACATGTCCATCCAACAATTAGTGCCGTCATTTAATTACTAAAATTAAGTTGTCTTTTTTACATTGACTGCTAGCCGTTGAAGTAGATAAATTAATGAACTGTCTATATATGTATCGCAAGGTTTTATACATATACAACAAAGGGATTTAATATATATATATCACTGTTCACTGTTGAGGGCTACTAGTGTCATTGATAAACAAGTCAGAAATCTGAACATTTACTACAGTTTAATTTCTTTAAACAAACTAACATGTTTCTGCTATTAGGCCATGATCACATTTCAGTTTAATTCTTTACAAAATAGGGTGGACTGTCTTTAAAGATGAACTTCTTTGTTTGTAGGCTATTCGAAGGTTTCTATTTTTCATGAGATGTCTTTATTATATGATAAATAAATAATTGTTCTATAGTTTAAATTGAATTTCGACTATTTTCGGTCATGTTGCGTTTCCTAGATGAATGTTGTCATTAATTAATTTGGTATTTTCAATACGTTTATTTTTTTCAAGAACATTCTAAGTGCACATTTTATAAATCAAACACGACTTTTCTTCCTGGGCTTATCAAATTAATAATATAAGCTAATAACTTATCTGATCAGTTGGCGAATTAGTGGCAATATAATTTAGGCGTTTATTGTCATTTAAATGAACCAAACCTCCAAACCCGTCGTCTATAATGGTTTCTGTAAAGAGTTTTCAATTACAACCACTCACTCGAACCTCTTGAAAGGTTAATCTATACCTAAAGATTTTCAAACTAAACATAAATATTCACTAATGCCCCAATTGTGTATCTAGTATCTCAGTCAAATAAGCCTCATTGCCTACTCTTTTAATAGGCCTATAATGATTGACAGTATTGATTTTACCATAAGTTTCAATATTTTATTATTGGCTCGGTTAGTAATTAATTTTTAAATCCACTTTAGAGTTTGGAGACACAAACACGCTTATTTGTTGAAATATAATAACTAATAACTCCGATTTGTATTTAAAACTTTAAATTTGCTTATGAATTATATAATTTTTGAATTTTACAAATAAAGAAAAGAAATACAATACCATAAAATATAAATATATACGATTGTGATGTACCATATCCGTAGTTTAGGCTATGTACAAAGTAACACAAACACGGGATCAAACTCAAATTAAAATAAACACACATTCGCAATATATGTTTATGTGTAACACCGTTTTAAGCCAACCGTATTGCACTTGACTTAGGCACTGGATCGACGCCAACATAACCCAAATGTTGTCGGACGAATTATTGATGATCAGCTGATACAAGGAATCGGTCGTGGTCGTGGGGTACTTAGCAACGTTCCGAATCTGACTGTAATTATCATATAGAAAGTTTTTTTTTTTTTTTTTTTTGTAAGGGAGAGGAGGGGAAGTGCTTTTACGCATCATATAGAACGTACGTTCTCTCATTCTGCTACAATTTTCATTAATCTATACTATTATATAAAAATCTAGTCGTGTCTGTCTGTACGTTTGTTACTAATAGGCGCATAAACTACTGAACTGACTGGGCTTAAATTATAGAAAAATATAGCTACCATACCAAGGGCCTTTATAGGACTATTCACACTTCGATACTGACTATGGGCTTTGCCCCTTCGGTTTTAAAAGTTCTGAGGTGAGGATTTAAAAAGTAAATATTGATTGGTCTCCATGGCTGCCATGAGAACACATACAACGTTTGCAATTTGCTATGCCACCCAAATGTAAACAAGCTGAACTGTCAAACCACATTAATTCACAATTCCACAGCTGTTTTATAAATAGGCATATAATATTCTCTACAATCAAGTGACATGTTAATTTATTCTTATATTTGATGGTTCATTGATCATTGATTTTATGAAATAAGTGAGATTGTATATCTGTTGTGTTTAAAAACAATCAATTTAAAAACAACAATAAAAAACTAAGTTTGTATTTGTATATAAAATTGCCTTTGGTGCATGAATAGTAGGAGCTATAAATAGTAGGGCTAAGTATATTTCTGTTTGTTTTAGTAGTAAGAGTGTCAATGTTTTTTTTTTTTTTTTCACATAGTATATAATGCAATATTTTTATAATCAATGCTAAATGAGCAATGCTTTTTAGAAGCAAGATCACATGTTTCTTTTCATTCAAGAATTAAATCTTATTTTACACTGCTTTTCATTTCAGATTTCAAAAAGCACCATCAACCCCAGACGAAGGACGGGTGCTCTGCTAGTTTTTAATATAACTTTTATTCCGTACGTGTAGTTGATTATTTAAAGTTCTCAAGCCTCTGTCTGTCAGAGGCTGGTGGAGATATCCATTTCGCATATCATAAATCCGTGATTATTTGGTCAATTACGTTGATAAATTGTCACGTAAACTATTTTACTAAACTTCGGAAACAATGAACGGAAGATACAGAGTAAAAAGCAGTACCGGTATCTTAAGTATAAAAAAATGATTTATGTAGTTTAAGCGGAAATTAATCCTAAAATATATTTTAAGTAACAAAAATATGAAACACATAGTTCAATAACTATCTGTCAACACTGCAAACACATATGATCAACATTTCCCGCATAACAGCTTTCTGTTAGTGCCAAAGCCCAATTTCCAGTTGTGTATGCAGGGACGTCCCATGATTTATGTATTTCCGTTTCCCTTAAGCCGTAAACATGGCTTTACTTCCGGTGGTGTACCTGGCCCGTTTCCTTCTTCCGGAATCTACTTCTTATAATGCTTTATTCTCTTTAGGTTTCTTCGTGTCCCCCTCCTCAATCTTGTGTAAGAGTTGGATGTATTGGCAAAGCATTGCTGTTTTTACAGTAAGTTTAAACACATCTGGATTTTGTTTGAACCTTGACAAGTTTCTAACTGCAAAACGTCTTGATTAGTTTATTTCACCTTGTTTCTTATTTATATAGGTTCAAATAATAAGTAATGCATTGTTATAAGAATTTATAATAGGGGGCTTGGTATTTTATTTATCACGACATCGGTTAAAAGTTTGGAGAAAGGTATGGGAAACACTAAATGAGAAATAAATGGCTTAAGGTGCTGATTTATTTGTTGAAGTTCGGCTGGCTTATATCGGGGCACTTTTGTTTTGGAGAGTCCGGTTCAATTCCCAATCATCACTACAAATAATAATGACACAAGTCGGTGGCTCGGAGTCTACATTTGCTGTACTCATATAAAGTTGTTAAAAGGTCTATTAAGATCCGGTCCAAAATATGTAAAACAATCAAGGATCAAAAAGAATACGTTCCAATAAAATGTTCGGTTGTTATGATATTAAACCTTAAATGTTCTTTTCGCTTGTCTTATAATTAAACCAGTAACATTACGATCAGTAGACCTAGCCCATTCTGCAACCAAGATACGTAACTCATGTGACCATTCAAAATCGTCATATTTGTTTATTTATTGCCCCACCACTCTAAAATATAATTTTAAGCATTTAAAGCTGATGTACTTTGGCAGTACCAGTACGTAAATTAAACAGCCATATCTATCTATACTTATTCAATACGCAAGCAGGTTTTTTGTGACAATTACTCCTCCGAAACTACTGAACCGATTGACATGTTTTTGGTCTCATTGGAAAAAGCGTAACGTGAAGTTGTGCAGGAAACTTTCTTTTTAAGGAAATAGTTAGAGAATGAGGCCCTTGGGTCCTTTAAAGTTTCGTATTTCTCCATAAGATTAACATGAGAAACAAATATTGTTATGAAACTGCAGCTGTCAAAAATTAAAAGTAAGAAGAAGAGCATATGTTGATTGTAAACAGTCAATAAGTTTGTTAATTTAACAGTTTGCTACACACATTTACTGACTTGGTTGAAATTAAATATTTACCATTTGAATTTGGGTTTGTGTAAATATTACAATGAAAAAAAGTGAGAGCCTGGATAGTTTTATATACATAAAGAAATCTGAATCAACACTGTGCTACATTTCTTAGTATTCATTGAAAGAGCCGATTTGCAAACTATGGAAACATAGGAAAGTCATAGAACACCACCAAGGAGAATAAATAGAAATATTGTTTTTTTTATAATCGTTATTATGGACAACCTAATGCGGCTACGAGTAAAAAAAAAGATCAGCTATTGAAAATGATAAGATATTTATAAGAAATGTTGGTTATATCGATGTGTTATGTACATCTTGGGTTTTTCCATAATCTTTGAGTCGAATCTTTTAAATTCATCAGGAATTATGACGGTTATTTGTTTAAAAATAACGCCTGTAATACCTAGCAACCGGTACACTAGTGTATTAATGCACGGTTTGCTATGAGTGTTGATTTGAGTTCTGTCGATGCTGTGTAGTTACCGACTCCACAGTCACGGATGATCCTCGGTTAGCGACTTGCACCAACTGCGCATTGAATCACTTGATTAACATTTACAGAACGTTCTCTATAAATTTTGTGTATTATATATATTTTTAGATTATTCCCTTATGGCTGACCCGTAAATCTTTGTCTAGCCTTTCCAGTACAAATTTGCCGTTGTTTGAGACGCCTTTTGTTTTATATGCAGTCGTTCATTGATTTGTTGAAGAGTAAAAGGTTATAGGGACAATTTGACATATTAGCAAAGATAGTAGTATCTTATCAATGGTACTTGAAATGTTATTTCAGCCAGTCTAGAATGCGGGAGGTGCGGATGTATGTTTCGCTCTTGTGCTTGTGTCTTCTTCGACTTGTATCCGACAGTAAGTAGTAAGCTTATAGTTCTAGACGATTGAAATTGAGGTAAATGCGTAATTGTCAGGTCTTTTGATCTATAGGTCTAATGATGATAGGTCTGAGTTTTATTGTAATTTAAGGAATAGCGGAATTGAATAATTATTTTGCAGATGAATAGACACATTTTGGCGAATTTCCCATATAGGGAATAAGCTATTAATCCTTGAGCTCATTGTAAAACCTGGAACCGGGACCGATTTACTTGTTCACTTTGATTTCGTAATGTATATGTATATTTATTTACTTATTTTAGCCCTCATGGGTGCAAAAACTAATAAAATAGAAATGGCTAAACAAATATATATATTTGTTTGTGTGTGTGTCCACTAGCACGATAACTCGAGCAAAACACAGCCAATTTAGATTAATTTCTGTACAAATGTGTAAACCTACATGCTGGATCAGACCATGGGAGACCTTCAAAACATAAAATTTCCCAATTTTTTGCTAATCCGTTTTAAAAAGCTTGAAAATTGACCACGGAAGAAACAAAAAAAATAATTCTCATGTTGTTCTTATGTGGAATAAGTAAACTGTTCTAGCTTGTTTGTTTATGAATATATTTTTATCAAACTTTGCAAATTTATTTATTTTATATTAAGCTATTAATGCCTTAATAAAAACTCAATTTATTACCTTCCTTGTAACAGCAAACCTAAGTACTAATTACCAAATGATATTTAAATAGATTTTAGTAAAAATCCTATCAGACAAATGGAAATTCTCGTAATCTCAGCAGGTTTGCTGTGGCAGGGATTTATTATTTAATAATAATAGATGTTTATTCGTTTTTATTTATTTCACATTAGAATTAGATTACAGTTTTATACATTGCGAGCAAGAAAATTTGATATTTTGACAGAAACAATGTAATTGAACTATATACTTACTTTATACTTTTTTGGAGTCCAAGGGAGTTTTGTGTTTGAAGGCAAATAAACTGGGACAAGGGTGGTCTAATGTTAAGAGCACGGAACTTTGGTCAGAACCCAGCAATCATCAATGGCTTTTAGTGGCTTTTAGTTATGTGGCAATGCCTATACCTGGTGGTATGGAGCCTAACTTGAGCTGTAGGTCAGTATGTCCATCTATACACAATACACAAACCAAAAGATTCTTGTCTGTATTACAGATGTTCCTCCACTGAAAGCCTTATTTGTTTTCCCATTTCAATTCTGTGCTTAAATAAAACTGAAATGTTGTCAAATGGAATTAATCAAAGTTAAGCATTAATTATAAACAGAAGACCTGAACAAACTTTTTAAATTGTCTGGAAAATTAATGAAAATTTACCAAGCAAAGTGAGTTAAAGATAATCGGACAGACAATATTTCAATGACTTTTAAGATGATTATGAAGCCTTGCTGGACTTGTGTGTTGCCAATGCAGCCTTGCTGGACTTGTGTGTTGCCTATGTAACCTTGCTGGACTTGTGTGTTGCCAATGTAGCCTTGCTGGACTTGTGTGTTGCCTTGTTGGACTTGTGAGTTGCCTTGCTGGACTTGTGAGTTGCCTATGAAGCCTTGCTGGACTTGTGTGTTGCCTATGTAACCTTGCTGGACTTGTGTGTTGCCTATGTAACCTTAATGGACTTGTGTGTTGCCAATGTAGCCTTGCTGGACTTGTGAGTTGCCTATGAAGCCTTGCTGGACTTGTGTGTTGCCTATGTAACCTTGCTGGACTTGTGTGTTGCCTATGTAACCTAAATGGACTTGTGTGTTGCCAATGTAGCCTTTCTGGACTTGTGTGTTGCCAATGTAGCCTTGCTGGACTTGTGTGTTGCTAATGTAGCCTTGCTGGACTGGTGTGTTGCCTATGTAGGCTTGCTGGACTGGTGTGTTGCCTATGTAGGCTTGCTGGACTTTTGTGTTGCCAATGTAGCCTTGCTGGACTTGTGTGTTGCCAATGTAACCTTGCTGGACTTTTGTGTTGCCATTGTAGCCTTGCTGGACTTGTGTGTTGCCTATGTAGGCTTGCTGGACTTGTGTTTTTTCTATGTAGGCTTGCTGGACTTGTGAGTTGCCTATATAACCTTTCTGGACCCTCGTCATTATTATGTTTAATAATTTTGTTAAGAAATACTGGTACCAGTTTTTAGCTTTTGCAATCCATTTTTTAAGTTTGTAGCAACAAGATGGTCTCAGCCATTTTACCATCAATGTTACATTAGTGCACATTTATTTATTGGTATTACTAAAGATAGGTGTTCTCTGGAGGATGTTGCATAGGAGTGTGATGTGTTGGTTGCTGTTGCAGCCAATGAGAGCACAGTGTTGTGCAGCAATGAGTCTGTCTGTCAGTCAACGTGGGGAGTACACAGCGTATGTGACCAAGGCAATTGTGACTGTCAGAACTTGTACTATCTCGCCAACAGCACAACCTGCACTGAGTGCCCAGGTTAGTCACATCAACATTCGTAAGTTGGATACTTCTGACAGAAACAAGTTTCCTACTAGAGATTACACACTTTATTATTTCTTTACTCAAAAGACGTAGTTAACTCCTTGTCACAGATTATACGAATCGCTAAACTTTTTATTTTAGGACGAGACATGGTTTATCCGCATGCTGCGACAAAACATTAAATCAAATGGGAGGCCACACACGAACGACACAAAGTTTAGACGCCTGGGCGGTTAGGCCATGCCATGTTGCGGCTGAACCGGGCAAAGTTAAGCAACGTTGGAGGGGATGACAGAATAACTTCTCGATCAGCATCGTACGTGTTATTAAATTACCTGAAAAAACAAAAATATATACGACTAATAACACTTGTAATAATATAATTATACTGTAGACTTACAAGACGGTAAATACATTTAAAAGTTGGTAAGTGGTGATCGATTTCGATTGGACACTCCAATCATCATCTTACCAACTTTTTAATTGTATTTACCGTCTTGTAAGTCAACAGTATAAGTGTAAATATATTATTACAAGTGTTATTAGATGTATATATATTTGTTTTTCCAGGGGATGACAGAAGCAGTCTCGTGAGAGACATATAACAGTCAGACCGCACGGATGGAGCCACTTCTTTCGGAATTTCTGGAGATTTTGATACAAGTTTGAGTTTTTAGCGTCTACAATTAGATTTTTTTTCTATGACGATTGATACGGACAAGTTATAATAGAACTGGTCAAAGACAAACCATGTTTGTAGGACAAAAGCTCATTGACTACTCAGGCAGGAACCTCTACTAAAGAGGTAAATATACATAATAATGCTGCAATAGACGAATCCAATGCCCTGCAATTTAAATAATTTTTTAAGAAATGTGGAATTGAATAAACAAGAAACATATATATGCCTATGCAAAGAAAAAAACATATTTTATTGGGATACAGTTAAAAAGAAAAAAATTAAATAATAGTAAAAGAAAAGACATAAGTGGTTCAAATATATTCATATTCAAACATCTTTATTTGTCATAAATCATGTATGTAATCATGTTCGTCAAATAGTGTCAGAATACTTAAAATAAAAATACTATTTCTATTTATGGGAGGTGGAAAATTAATCGAAAAGAATATAATGATAGATTTATTATATATGCTCTTTTAGAATTATCTTGAATTTAGATAGGTTTGTTTATTTTTTTATGAATTCAGGGAAAAATTTTAGAAAATTGCTACCAGCATATGAGGGTTTTTTTCAAAAAATTTTAATTTGTGAGGCTGGACAAACTCCCTTCTCCTCCTGAAATTATAAGAATGCACTGAATTTATTACTTGCTCGGATTCATTTTTTTTTTGCGATAAGAATTGTTTCATAAATATATTGCCCATAAACTGTAAAAATTCGTAATTTCTTAAAACGTTTTTTTGCCGAATCATCTCGTTTAAGCTTAAGCATAATTCTGAAAGCATCTTTTTGTCCCTTCAGACTGGTATCCAAATTTAATATTTTTGTTGACCCATGTAATGCTAAACCGAATGAAATATGGGAGTGAATGTGAGAAAAGTATATACTTTTTAGGGTTTTCAAATTAATAAAAGGACATTTAAAAAAAATAAAGGACAATAGGATTCATACTAATTTCCTAATAATAGTTCATGATAATAAAAGAAATAATTGATCGGATACTTGACTCTTTACATACACTGTATAGCAAGATTCTGATAGAGGGTCTGATAGAGGGGTAGGGGGTGATAGAGGGGTTTCATGCAGGGTTGCTTAAGTAAATGGTCAGTGTTAGCCTATATAATTTAAAGTTAAATATTAAATTATTTTATCAGGTTTAGTTTATAGTTTATAGTTTTTAGGTTTAGTGAGTCGGTGGCTCAGTCGGTAGCGTCGCGGACTTCGGGCCCAAGGCAGTAGTGTCGTGGGTTCGGATCCTGGTCACTGCCGATAACATTTTATCAGTACAGTTCACCTTTGTACTGTACCGGCTCACTCCTTGCTTTGCTGTAAACGATCCACGCACGGGCGCTTAGTCTATGTGGACGGGCAAATACAAGGTTAAAAGAGGTTGCCAACCTCTTTAAAAAAAAAAAAAAAAAAAAAAAAAAAGTTTAAATTAAAATTAGGTAAAGATCTACATCGTTTCAGATCATATTGATTTTTGTTTTATTCTTCCAAGCAAGATGTACACTGTTCACCCCTGATGTTTTATTATCATGTGTAGGCTATGGACAAATTCAATCATTGATATTGTATCTCAGGTATTGGGGAGAGCTGCTCTGACTCTCAATGCTGCAACCAAGACTACCTGATCTGTCACAAAGGGGTTTGTATGTGCATATACAGCGACTATTGCTGGTAAGCTCTTTTTCCAACTATAGTTATGATCATCTATAGCAGTGCTTCCCTCTTAGACTAATCCTCCTGTAGGGGGGGGGGTCTAGAATGGTAGTGCACAAAGCAAGAAACACTACGTTGGTCTCAGATTATATCTAAGTTCTCTAGGCTGCAGCCAGGGCCGGCTAGTCCCCTAAGCTCCATCTGTGGTGTGGGTAAACATGACCAACAAACAACAGGAATAGTACAAGTCAATATTAAATAGCCATAAATGCAATGTTTCAGTCATTCTTGCTTATTGGTTTCCGTCTAAGCTTCTTCGTAATGATGGCGCTTATGATGTTCTCATGGTTGAATTATCTATAGTATTCTACACTAAGCAAGGCCAAAAGTTTTGCTTGTCTTCTAGTTAGAGGTATATAGGTTTGGAGTCTGTTCTTGATCAGCTTCAGTTAAAAGTTACCTTTCCCCAGACTAATAAGTCACCATAAAGGTAATGCTTTGTTTACCGGTAGATTACATGGAGTAGTGTGCGAGGTGAGGGAAAGAGTCACACAGTATACCGGCATGAACTATTAGCATGAAGATTTTTTGTCATCCCAGTTTCAATAACTTGAGCCATACTAGATTTACCTTTGTTGTTGTTGTCTGAGTTCCCTGATTCTGTCGTTGCGTTGTCCAATCGACCCAACCACGATACTAGTGACCGTGTATGTGTAAATATGTTTGTAAACATAGACTGTAGTGTTAGTGATAAGATGAATTCACAAGAAGACCCCTAAAGATGCCATACGAGGTGGCAAAATGCATAGGGTGACACTAAAATCTTACCTACAAGAACTCAGGCTAACTAAACTCAAGGCAAATCTTATTATAACAAGTTTGGTACACAAACGCAGCTATAGCTAGAAAATCACAAACAACAAAAACATAAATAGAACTGTATGCACTGTCCCTTGGTGCTTAACGAATTACAACATTCCAAATGTTATAAGCTCAAAAAGTAAAACTTTCACATACATTGATCAAGAGACTGATATAGTCATTTTTCTCCTTTATCAATTGAATTTTACTGAAAAAAGATGGTCATTAAAAAATGGCAACTACCTTGAGCTGAATTTTACCTTTATCTATTAGTGGATTTAAGTCTGATTGTTGACACACTGAAATCCCAGTGGAGTCCAGATTGGCTGCTCTAAGACATTGGCTCTCTTTTGCTTAGCCTGTTTAATGTATAATTATATATATGTTACATTTTCTAAATAAGTTAACTATATTTTTCCAGGACAATATCAGCAGCAGATCGAGAGAGATTTCAACATGTGGCTCAATGCATTCTTGCAGTTACATTGATGCTCACAGCTACCATCTTGTTCATTCTCTTTTGGAAAGCTTGTTCAAGGTGAAGTCCTAACGTTGTTTGAATGTCTAATCAAAGGCCTAGTTAGGGACCTATGGATCTAATGGATGCAACACACATTCATGTTATGGTCTCATAATATAGAATGAAAATTATTTTGATTCTATCAAGTGAACTTTTGTTGTTGATAAGTATTCCTATATAGATTTATATATTAGATATAGTGTGAACATTTGTTTAGGCACTTAAGACAATATCAACAATTAAGATTGACAGTCAAATCAATATAATGCAAGAATTCTTTCTAGTTATTTGTATATGTAGCTTTCTAGAGGCTTTAAAGGTAAAATAGGACTATCCTTCTTACTGTTAAAGCTTAATATTAATTAGTTGGGAAATCTGAGTACCTAATACAGTTTGAGTTTGGAAATCCATGTAATATAGTTGGGGAATCCGCAATAAATAGTTGGGAAATTCTAAATGTCTTCCCACCCAATTTTTTTTTCATGTGACGCCCCTGCCTACAACACCAGACATGCATTAGATCTTGCCCTTCCAATCCACAAGCTATCACTTATAAAAGAAAACCATCCTATAAAGGATCTAAATACTTTAACCTCCTTCCAGAACAACTTAAACAACAGAATAATTCATCCACTTTCAAGTCAAAACTCACAGACTGGCTGCTAGAGAGCTCGAGTCTGTGAATTCATCTCATGACCTTAAAATATGAAATGTTTCTGTAAACCACCTGTAAATATGATACTGTACTATTCTCAACAAATATGTTAAAAGAATATTAGTTTTCTATTTTCCAAAGCTATCATCTGTTGATATTACATTGATCTTTAGGACTGGCCCATACAATATACAGTAGACTCAATCTAATCCGGACACCTTTTAACCGGACATCGGTTTAACGGGACTACACTTGTCGGAAATGACATCTCTTTACTCGGACAATTTTTATCAGCACATTGGTTTAACCGGACTAGATCAGAAGGAAGTGGGCGGTACTGAAACGACTGTACTCGTGGGAAATATTTGAGACCAGTGATCACGTGTCTAAATACAATTTAAGTCAAATATCACAGTAAACGGTCCATTTTAACGAGTTTTTAGGGACATCGGTTTAACCGGAAAAACAGTTATCTGGAATGGCCTCGGTCCCGAGGAGTCCGGATAACAGGGAGTCTACTGTATTATTATATTCAAATTTTCCGTTGAGGATGTGCGTTGGGGGTATTTTTGCTGGCCTTGTAAATTGCATACTCCTCAAAAGTGTTAAAACCTTCCTCTCCCTGGGAACTTAAAACCTCTAATTAGTGTTGATGTCTTTGTACTCGTGTTTGTCTTTTATTAAATGTTCAGCAAAAGCAAGGTTATGTTTGTTGACAGAAGGTTTTGGAACCACCTTGAAACAAACATAAGGGCTTTATCTGAACCTGATGAAGTCACGGAAAGGATTCCTACCATAAAACCTGGGAAAAACCAAATTCTGATTGTAATCATAGTCTATCTTTTCAGGCGAAGTGTGGTGAGACGAAACTTGCGCCATAACTCTGATAGCATTCTCAGTCTCAACTCTATACAAAGGCTGGTGTTAATGCAGCTACAAGATCGTCCTCCTCCGTATAGTGCCGAGTGGTCTCAACCTACCAAACATGTGGTGAGTAGGTTCAGTGCAGATCAAAGGGTAAATATTGGAATTTTAAAAATTCTCACTCTAGTTCCTCTATCAAATGTTGATAAAGTTCAAGTTATTCTTTTATATTAAACCCCACCTGGATTTTTTGTCAAAATAGTTTTAAGTAGTTAAGGATTGAAATAGTTCAAAACCATATTTAGAATGATTTGGTAATCTTCATACTCAATCCACGCCAGATCAAGATCCTCACATGTAAGGTCTACTGCTAATAAACTATTTTAAATGTGTTTTCCTGTCCAAACGATGGTTTTGTTTTGCACACCCTGATGGCCAGATGTTGTTATAGAATGAACTTTGTGAGCCTCCTCCCAGCTATATTGAAGCAGTAGGGACAGCCAGGGTCACTGCGTATGAAGAGAACTTCACACTTCCCTCCCATTTAATAGTTCTCACAAACACTGAATTACACATGTAATTAATTTGTTACTTGTTAAAATCAAAATAATATATAAAATACTCGGTAATTAAAATTAAAAATCAATGGCACAAAATTAATAAACAGTAAGTGTTTTCCTCATTACTTATTTCACAACATTTCACAGCAACTGTAGACAACATATAATCCTGAAGGTTTATTTCTTGATTTGTTTATACAATACTTTACCCTACCAAGAAAACTGAAAAAATATCACATTGCAGTTTTAATCATCATAAATAATGTTATACTGTATGAATGTTTTCTTTATTAAAAAAAGAGGAAAAGTATCTTAAAATCGTAATATATTGTAGATAATTACTATAGTATATTAACAACCTACTTTTAGTATATCACTGCAGCCTAATGCATCTTTAATTAACAAAAGTATTGAAATATTGGATCTTACACAAAATGATTAATTTGATCATCTATTAGAATGAGGGTTATATTAAACAACTGTAAATTTGGATACTATATATTTTTCTCCCCTCCCTTACAAAAGTTCCGTAGTGTGTTAAGGTCATTGCATCCAAAAATGCGCAGCTTTTAAGTGCAACAAAACTAACACAAAATTGTATAAAATCTTATAGATCTAAGAATATAAACAGTATGTACAACAAATTGTAGAGTAGCAATAAAATGTGTTTGAGTCCAAAAACATTTTTGAGGCTTTTATTGAGTTTTGCTTAATTTCTTTTATACTTTTTATTTAGACATTTATAATTTTTCTATTAAAGATTGTTTCCTTTTACATAGCCTTGGATATGTTACTACTGTAAATACATTAAATCGTAATGTATTTACTGTATTTACACGGATAAAAATGTATTGTCTACATTAATCATCACTTGCTTATGTGTTGTGCACGTAATACAAATTCACTGCTTATTGTTTAGTTCATAACAAATATTCCTCTCTTAAATATTCTTATTCCTCTCTTAAATTTGTAACTACACAAGATGTGATTTTTTTTATTTTTTTATAACAAAAACTATATTTAAACATGTTGCAGCAATGTAATAAATATACAAAATATCGTATGTACAATCTCTAAAACTATATTGATACAATATAAATATAGTTTATATTTACAAAAACAGACATTGCAAACCATTAGGCCGGCCAAACACTGCAACAGCCAAGGTAAGGTGAGGAAAGGGATTTTGCCTAAAGGCTTCTTGAGCGACATGGAAAGCAAGGCGAGATGGGGCGGAAAATTGCCTTTCATCAAAAAGGGAAGCATTTAAAGATTTTACTTTGTCAACAGTCATTGACCGTCGGGCATGCACGAATTTCCATCATTCTGTACCTTAGTTGATATAGTTTCAAAACCAAACTCGGTTTATGGTTTCATATAGAACACAAAAAACTCATTTGATTAAATGCGTCAAGTACCCAGCTGAAGTGTCTAACATCTTGTTTTAAATCACTAGATTAGCTTTCACACATTGTTTAGTTAAAGAGACCCCCGTTCCAACCCCCATCTGTGGCTCTCCTCCAAACTGTGATACTTGTACAAAGTCAAATGTTGAAGGTGATATCAGGAAGTAATTAACAAACGACCATCGATATAAAACAAAGTGATTTATACAAACTACGCCAAAATTTTGGAACCTTGACTTGCCTCGCCTTCTGCTATATAGGTGTCTGACTTCACATCACATTGCCTAGAACTTTGGAATCTTGACTTGCCTCACCTTTTGCCCGACTTGCTTCACATCACCTTGTCTAGACTCAACCGTTACGGTGTGGCCGGCCTTATAGTTCTAGTTCATAGAAGTATAAGTATAAGTATAAATATCATAACTTAAAAGTTTACCAAAAGACCAAGGCCAATAAGTCCTGTTCACATGAGATATAGTGACTTGATCATAAACGCATGTGACGTAATTTAATGTTCTAATTGAGCCTCTCTCAGCAACACTGAGATAAGGGAACTATCAAAATATGTTTATTGGTTAGAATCTCAAAATATTCTACAACGAATATTCTCAGTTTTGTCTTTTTACAATGAATTTAGGGATAGCAAACTGCAGCTGCAAATACTCACAATGTATGCTATTTACAATGCCCAGCTAAAGCCACATTGGGGTATGTAGATTATTGCTTTTTCAATTCAATTATGAGATAAAAAAATTACTGGGAATCATCTAAAGATTGAGCCAGAGCAAAATACAATAAAACACAATAAGTTAAATGCCCGCTTCTGTTACATAAATATCCGTTTAAAAAAATCAAAAAAGCATTTTCAACCAACCAGATCAAATATGGGCCTATATCATCTTAACATCAATGTAATAATTTATATCATTATCAAGCTTAAAGTTAGTTTCTTTTCAAATTTTTTTGGATTCAATAAGGAATAATTTGCAATGGTTTGTTTTGTTTTTCCCCTTAAATGCTCATTTCTAATTGAAAAAAATACTCATTCCAAATTCTTATCTCACTATCGTCTAAATAATGCACTTCAGAACTACTTCAAGAATAGCTATGACTGAACTATATACATTATCTGATAAGCATCTTTGAAGAGAAGGATAGAGTGAAATATTCAACAGTCTATTAACAAAGTTGGAGAGTCGTTACCTTAGACTCATTTCTTTTTCATCTGGAGGAAAAGAGACGTAGAAGGGCTGGTTTTGGACCCTTCCTAAAGTGGAATATGATGCCCTTAGACCTGGTGATATCGAGGAGGGAGGTCCCATCTTGTGGGGAAGTGTGGCAGCATATCCGGGATTGGGACCGTAGAGAGGGGGGACTGAGTAGATGGGCATCTTGGGACAGGGACATGCAGGGTTGTTGCAGTGAGGCTGCATCAACGAAGGAACTGTGGCTAATGGACCACCTCTATATTGATTGTCACTCCACCTCAGTCTGACAACGCAGATTATGATGATTAGAACTAAAATGAAGGCAACAACTCCTCCAACAATACTTATGATCAATTTATCATCATTATTAATATTATTCATCACCATGTTAGGTGCCTTGTTGGTCACCAAAATTTTGTTATTAGACATCGTAGTGGATGGAAGAGACCAGATTATTTCTGGCTCAGTTGTTATTCTAGGAGTTGTTCTACTAGTTTTCAGAATAGTAATTGGGGCTCGCATCGTAGTTGTTGGTCTGTGGGGATCACAGGTCAGTTCGTCATCAGCAATCTCCACAAGGATTCTACCAGCGAGGTTTGCTGGGGATGAACAGTTTATACCGTGAGCCAATGGTGATCTTCTGAGTGCTCTGACACCACAATCACAAAGAATTGGGTTGGTAGAAAGTCCTACCAAGGTCAAATCTCCTCGACGATCGTCCAAAGCTGATAGGAACTGAGGAGTAAGTGTGGTGAGTTGACTTCCTGTTATGTCTAGCTTGACTTTAGATGATCTCGGCAGTGGAATAAGCAGTGCAGGTGGGAGAGAGTTCAGGGATGTGTTTCTCAGCTCGATAGATATTTCAGGAGATTTAAGGCCAGCAAGAGCCCCTGAGGAGATACTCTGTACTCGGGATCCTCTGATCCCCAACCTTGCAAGCCTTGGGTTCATCGCAGCAGATAGTTGATCACTTCCTACAGCAGAATCTTTTACCTCCACATCTAAAACTTCAAGAGCTGGTAAACTATGCAATAGTCCGGTTACATCTAGATATCCCAGCTTAGGATATCCGTAAGCTTCTAGTTCAGCAAGATCTCCCAATTTACGAAAAGCCATCTTTTCCAAGCGAGTGCACTCTTCTAACATGGATATTTTTAGTTTTCTCAAAGATTCTAGCTCGTCTAAATCACCTTGGACAATACTCTTCAAAGGGTTGGCAGATAGATCAACAGATTGAAGATTCCTGAGCTTGGGCCAAACTTGATTCAGAGAACCACTGATATCTGATATTTTGTTATGTGATAGATCTAGGACTTCGAGTAATGTGGATCTTTCAAATACTTTTTCTGGCAAATCGGCAATTGAATTATATGAAAGATTCAAATGGTGTAAGAATGGAGTCTCCAAAACGGACACATGGTTTATTCCAGTACCTGCCATATTGAGTTCTCTCACTGTTTTTGGTTCTCCAAGCACGTTATTAATCGCTTCTTGTGATAAAGGGTTGAATGATAAGTCCAACTTTTTTATGTTCACCATAATACTATCATCAGGTGGAATTTCTCTAAGTTTATTTCTTGAAAGATCTACTGACATCAAAAAGAAATATTGCCGTTGTAATGTCTTTAATGGAGCAGTTTCAAATTGGTTCCCGGACAAATCAATATTTTCAAGCATACGCAACCTAGATCTTTCGAAAATTGATTCAGGCAGCTCAGAAAGAAGATTGTCTCGTAGATTTAGCAGTTTCAGTCTTCCTAACCCTTGGAATGTTCTTTCACCCAATCTTTCAAGCTTATTTCCAGCCAAATCAATAATCTGAAGTTGAGTAGAGTTGTGGAAGGCAGTTTCACTGATAGATTCAAGCTGATTATGATTTAGATTCAAAATTCTTAGACGTGGCAACCTACCAAAATCAAATTCTTCCAGACCTTTAAGCAAATTTGAACTGAGATCAACTTCTTGCAAAAAGTTTAGAGTCAGAATAAGCTCAGCTGGGAAGAAATTAAACTTATTTCTAGCAGCAGAAAGTGACTTTAGCCTCGGATGAACACGAAATGAGGAAGGGAATAAGTAACTCAATTCATTGTCATTCAAATTCAATTCTTCTAAAAGAGTGCCATTGCTTCTACGAGTGACAAACAATTCACCTTTGAATGAGGTCAGTCGGTTTCCCTTAAGGTTAAGCTTCCTCAATTGAGTAACCTGAGAAAAGGATCCTGTCCTTATATTACTGATGTGATTATTTGAAAGATCTAGGTATGTGAGGTTAGCCAAATTTTGGAAGACTGATTCTGTTATATCTTGTATTAGATTATCCGACAGAGATAACCATTTTAATGAAACTAATCGCATCAGCAATTCTGGAGCAAGGACCTTTATGGTAGTCTGACATAAATCCAGAACTTCCAGTTTTGTAAGGGGATGGAAGGCAGTTGAGGGTACACTCCCTAGTTGTGGATTCCGACTGATGTTGAGATGAGTCAATGATGGAATCATAGAGAACGAGGGACGAGGTACATCGCTGATTAAGTTGTTAGAAAGATCCAAGTGTAGGAGATTAGTGAGCGCAAGGGGCTTGAAAGGTAGAGAAGATATCCGGTTGCTTCTCACTATGAGGACTTCCAAAGTCTCTTCAAGTCCTGAGAAGGTTGGTGATTCTAATGTTAAGAGTAGATTTCCACTGAGATCAAGAGACTGCATTTGTTTGAAGTCCTGAAAAAAGTTATTGCTTTTCATTAATCCACCCAATATGAATTTTTTCCAGATGTGTATTTTAGAATTAAGAAAGGTTCAACCTTAGTTGATCTAAAACATTTGTAGGTCCCTGAACAGCCTGCTGCTGTACTATGTTGTGTTTTTCTGTTTGTCAGGACTTCTCTTCAATTATTTTTTTCTAACCACCCTTGTAAATGTAATTTTATGATTTCCTTACGATCATTATTTTTTTAACGTTCAATTGCAACACTTAATATGTATATTGAAGCCTGTGATTTGCTAAAATGAAGTGTGCAACCTATTAATTTTTTTCTATATCAACCCTGCATCCAACAACTGAAGACAACTTTCAGTAAAGTGGATAGTGATTTATTTGTTTACATTTGGTAAAATAGCTTATGACATAGTGTATTATTTGTGTATAGAAGACATATATCATTGCTACTTCATTCAACTGCCATGCCCAACTGATATGGGACCAAATTGTCTGTAAAAGAATGTTAAATTAAAGTAAAAAATTTGCTTAATTGATCCCAATTTCGCCACCTTAATGATTGTAGAAACTAACTGCTCTCCTTTCACTTACTTCTTTCACTTACTAGTTGACAATTGTCAAGTTCTCTTAGAAACTTAAGATCCAAGACAAAACTTACCTGGAAGGCATCATTGGGAAGTTCTCGAACAACATTTCGACTGAGTCCAAGATGGGTGACTCGGTCAGCCACAGCTCTCAGTATGTCTATGGAGAGAGCTGCAACTCTGTTAAAGTCCAGCTTGAGTTCTGTAAGCCTTGGAAGTCGTCCAAGAGCACTTGCAGGCACAAGTAGAATGTTGTTATCTTGCAAAGACAAAGTCTCCAGGTTGTCCAAACCTTCAAAAGCATCATCTTCTACCTGTCAAGTCAAGTGTATTCCATTAAATAAAAACAAGCATTACAATACATTGTTAGTACAAGGAATTATTCTCCCGAATAGACTACAAATCCGTGATCAGGGGGGGAAGAGTTAACAATATCAGCAGTCTATGGGTATTCTAAAAATTGTTCTAAGTCACTGCACTTTTTAATTCTCAGCACACAAATTAAATCAAGTTAAGCTCTAAACTAAATAATTGTAGGCTATTCCAAAAGCAATAAAAAAAAATTTGAATTCTAAAATTAAGTCAATTCCTTTTTAACATAAAACAACGTTTGGAGTAAATACAATGAAAACTGAATCAAATACAGAATAAAATGGTAGATTCCAATGTTTCTTCTGTGGAACGGACCAATTAATTAAAGCTCATAATACAACTTATAATGATTATCTGATGTAAGTCATCGAGAAATAACTTACAAGTCAAGGGTCAGATTAACAGTCTTCTATGTGGATGTCATAAATATAAGGCTTGTTGTTTGGACCAATGCCCAAAAAATAAAATTGACATGACATGAGTGGACTGTATTCGTATTAGGAGTTCAGTGACTTGAGGGTTTGCCATGAAAATCGATATGTGGTCAATACACATATATTTTACTCTACTTTTAACATTAGTCAAATTTACATCATTATTCTTATTTTAATATACTATTTTGAATTTATTACATATTATATAGCTTAGTATCATTATTTTGCCAATTATTTTTATGTTTGAGGCTTTAGGAAAAGAAAGAGATGGGAAGTGGCCACATAGTCTTTAGATTTGTCTGAATTAAAAAAGGAATAGTTATTGTTCACAGTTCACTCTGAAGAGAAAACCTTCAGAGATCTTACACACTTTCACACTTTGCATTTAAGGACCCTTAATAACATAAAAAGAGAAAACACTACTTGAATTTACTTTACATTTAAATTATATACAATAGTGAAGAACTCTGGACATGTTGCTTGCTTCAAGTCATGATTGGAAAAGAGAAAGAGAAAGTGGATCCCCGGATAAAGTAGTTTCAAAAGTCTTCCACTTGATGGCAGCACTAATCAACACACTGTACCACACAAAATAGTTTGCTAATTTTCCACTAGAGTTCAGGAAGGATATATTTTAAGGATAGCCTAATTACTTGTTTTATTTCTGTTTTTTTTTTCGACAAAAACATCATAAAGATGTTGTATGTTTGAAAATCAAACTGTGTACTAGCTTGTAGCCTCGTTAGAGCACAAAATAATTATGTAAATATTACTTTTTTCCATCCTCTTAGAAGTGCTACTGTTCTTGATCTATTCTACGTGACAATTTGCATTGACAAATAGTTTGAATTCACTCTTACCCTTCACACTTTGTATTATAAAGATCGTAACACAGATTCCACTGTTTGATCTTTATGGTTTAACCTCACACATTTACAAAGAAACGTCTCTATGTGGACCCAGCTCATAGTGACGGAAACATTTCAACTCACTAACTATTTGGGACAAAAGCTTAAACAGTTCTTACAGTTCTGAGAGTGTTGACACTGAGGTCCAGGTTTCTCAGCTTTCTAAGCCCAAGGAAGGTTCCTGGAGCAATGTTGGCAATGTTGTTTCTACTCAGATCTAGAGATTCTAGCCCTGCCACTGTTGCAAGGTTCGTATCGTCTAGCTTCTGCAAGAAAACAATGACTTAAATAAAATTTAAAAGGTAATTTCCATTCTTTTGTGTTATTTAAAATTTCTGGGAAGTAGTTGTATTAAATGTTGACCAAATTTTATTGATGTTATTTAACATAATTATATCTATATTTTAAAACTATAGCTACACCTTTAACCTGACTGATCAATCAGACATTGATCATTGTTTTGTGAGTGATTTGCTACCTATTGCTAATTTGTTGGTTCAGTTGGTTGAGTTATTGAATGTTTAGAATTATTACGGTAGCGTTGTCATGGGTTTGTGTCTCAGTTCTGTCAATAATAATTTATCAAAGTCGCACATTGTTGTGTTGTAGTCCAACACACAAGCCCAAGGCCTGTGAAATAAATACTGTATTCTTCTTATTCTGTTTGGAGGAGCTGATGTAAATAGTTGAAATATCTGATAACCTCTTGATTCTTGATTCTTGAAAGGCAAGAAATTCCTAGAGAAATAGTTGTCTTAAAAAAATGTTTGATTCTTGATAACCCTATAACTGATTAGTATTGGCATCAAAACAGAGCTATACAGTTGTTCAAGTCAGAAAATGTTTCAGTGTAGGTAAGTCTGATGGACATCCAGCATTATTTTATTCTCGTTCACAAAAGTTTCTTCCTCAATCTTTCTAGCAGCTTAACGTCATCCATTCTTTGCTATTTTATCTGATGTGATGAATGATTTTTTTCTGAGAAGAGTAGGGGGTTTTTATACAATCAATTGATAGAGTACCGTAGCAAGCTATCTGAAGAAAGAACTTTGTTAAAAAATAAGCGGCATCAGAAGGAGTATAAGGGAAAATTAGACTTACCTCGATCAAATTGGAAGATAAATTAAGATGTCTAAGTCCAACAAAAGCTTTCACAGCAACGGTCGGAAGTTCTGTTAGGAAGTTATCTGACAAATCTAATGAATCAACATTTTCTGCTCCTGAAACCCACAACACTTTTCTTAGAATATTTATTACAATAATTATCCTTGTTTCAAAGTAATTCATTTCAATATTATGTAGAGACAAGTTCAGCCTTGACATAAATGAAGAAAGTTCTAAAAATGAAACTAACATTCAATGGACCCTAGGAACTAAATAATTCTGATTACTCTGAAGTGGAAGTGTTATAACTCATTGAACTAAGGTACTTATAATATTACTGGTTTGAACTCTGTATATCATTTTTATGTATCCTTCACATGCCAAAAAGATAAAAAAAATGTATTTTTCAATCTTAAGCCTGAAGATATACATTACATAATATAATATACTTCAATATCTGTAGTAAATACTTAAGTTGGTCAGGACAATGTCTATTCATATGTGTCCTGACCAACTTAAGAATTTACTACAGATATTGAAGATAAAATTTACAGCCTAATATGCGTCTTACCAAGGATCATAGAAAAGTCAACCATGGCTGATTTCAAAGCTCATATCTTCAAGTTTTTTTTAATGCAATTCAACAGTCATCAGCTGTTTCATCGTTGATAGCACGTTTGACTTTTCAAAACATTATGCTGAATCCAGCAATGGCAATACACGGTTATTTTCAACATTCATACAGGATGATTTTGTTTTATAAATGGCAGTTTTTTAACACATGGATATAACAATTATGTGAAAAATAGACAGAGAAAATAGTGTGATCTTACCCAAAAACACATCACTGTTAAGTCTTTTGAGTCTATTGTGGCCAAGATTGAGTTTGAGCAAGTGGTCCAGCCCTCGGAACGAGCCTCCCTCAATGACACTCAGCCGGTTGCTGCTAAGGTCCAGTCGCTCTAGACTCTGTTGGGAGATGAATGCACTGTCTGGTATGGCACCTGAGGCAGAAATATAGAATCAGGTCTTCACCACTGCCTGCCTTTGATATCCAATTACACAATGATAGAAACTGAGAGTTTACATAACTGTAACTTTTAAACATTAGTTTGCTGGTAGCAGACTTTTTAAAGCGAAATAACCTCTTTTGTTATGTGAGATTGAAAGGATTCTATAGTGTAACATAGTTTTCATCTATTTTGTCATGAGCGAAGAATATGCAATAACTGTTTGATCATCCTAGAGACAGGGCTGCTTTAATAAAATAGAGGTTTTACCTCCATTGGGGGCTCAAGGAAGAGAAAAATTCTCACACAAGGTAGGTGGACAGGGGCTCACTTAGGCCCAAAGTGCATCACATGCACACCGTGGGCCTGCTTAGAGAACAAATAGTTGGATTAGCTAGACTTGTGCCCTCTCTTAACAAATTCTGTATTTATCCTGACTACTCTTCCTCGGGACTGGAGTACAATTACAGAAATAATAGATTATATCGAGTTTTGGGCTATGCAAATCAAAACATTCTTTCTCTAATTACACATTAAAAACACTAATTATATAACAATACAGAAGAGAATATACAGTTTACGCAATAATCACGTAAACTTCACGACACAAAGAGAAATTTAAGCAGCTCGCTATGGCAAGTGTCGTAAAAGCCAATTACGTGAATTGCTTATACTACTTTACCTACGTCCTACAGTACCACGCTTTTATATTGTTTGCAGAACTGCATTACCCATACCCTATCTGTTATTTTTTTTAGGGAAGGAACAAACTCCTAACTTGATTAAGGTGGTAAAATATTATTACAAACCCTTTGAGCACTTACTTCTATGTTGTCTGTTTCACTAGAATTATCTGACATTATAAAAATGTCTTTCAATCGCCCTACTTAACTGTTGATGAACAAATCATTCAGTTCACCTTGGATTAAGGAAAAAATGTGCGAGTTTCTGGCGGAAATTGGCAGATCAACAATTAAATTAGTCGTTGCAATTTTAAGTTAAATCAATTACGATTGTACTTCTTTTCTCTCAATCCATGAAACCTATTGGCCCATTAATTTACCACACTAGTACTGTAAAGTAAGTGAACAATGCGTTAAAGGGAATCTTTTCTGTTCTAAAAATTGAATTGAAAATAAGGTAAGTTTAAAACACGGTCGTATGTAAAAATATTGAATTAAAACCAATTAACCAAAATTCCGAGCTCTTTCTAGGGGGGCCTCAACGGATATTTATTTATTTAGGATAATTAATTTCTCAAATAACTAATCTGTTAGATGTTTAAATTTTGAGCCTAGCTTTTATCTTCCTAATTGCTAAATGCATCTGTGAAGATTGCACAATCAAAAATCACAATTTTTCCACAACCACAAGAGTGCCATGATTTCGCTGTGGTCAAGGAAGATGAGGATTATCCCTTTGCAAACACGGAAGATGTTCACAATTTTGCTGCGGAAACATATTCACTATTCAGTCGAGACCACGGGAGACAAAGATGATGTTCCTGTAACTGTGGAAGACGTTCACAATTTTGTTGTGACTCTAGGAGATGTAAAATGTGCCATCACGATTACAAAAGATGTTCACTATGTTGCTGTGAACGTAAGAGTCTTTCAAAATTCCTCCGAGATCGCAGCAGACGTCCACAATTTCACCGCAACCCCAGGGTACGTTTAGAAATTCCTTGTGACCGAGGACAGTGTTGTTAATTTTCAACTTAGTTTTGAGCTCTCGAATTTGTTGCATTCAACCCAATCATAGTAAAATAAATGGTATTTAAATAAAATACTCTCAAAGCAACCTGATTTTCGCCCAAGACCTGAAGGTTTACATTTTTGACTCGACCTGAAGTAAAAAGGTCCCCTAATATTATCAAAAATATAATTGATTAAATTATTTATTACCTAATCTGCTGGGTCTATTCCTCGATCGAATCATAGAAAAAAAGGTTTGTGTTCATCAAGTTGAAGCAATACCACGTGTATTTCTAAACCCCAGCTACCGAAGAATCAGAATACAAGGCCTCTCTAGAGTGGGCTGGTAGGGGCCTCTCATACATTGTAAATACGGCCATGGTTACCATGTCATAGTTGGATGGCTCTTTACTGCAAGATGTGATATGACGTTTACTTTATGGTCAATGCCATACTGAAAAGTGCTAGTCAATTTGAAGCGATACGCAATGTCTAGGGAAAAAGTCATATCTTCCTTATTTTTCAAAATATTCTCCTCAAAACAAGTTCTACCACATATCAAAGTGTTCCCGTGGCTAACAAAAGAAACAAAGAATAAAACGTAAACAGGTGGTTGCTAGTGACAGTAAAGGAGCTTAAAGTGTGAAATGAACCAGCGACAATTTGAAGCTGTCAGATGGAACTAACACATACCAATAAGACCATGTTGTGTGCTATATGCAGTGCTCGACTTGCGGGGGAACGCAGCGGAAAGGAGTTCCTGTACCTCTCTTTTGGAAAGATAAAAATATTGGCATAAATAGGTACTAATTAAATTAGGTTACGGTTCTGGCACCTCATTGTTTACAAATCTAGCACTGGCTATATGAAATATGAAGAGCCACTCTCAACTTAACGACTCTTACATTGCAGCAAATAACTACATTTTCGCTGTGACAGTAATTAACCTACTGTCACCGTTTTATGACTTTCATAATTTCGTCTCTGAAAATATTTGTAATTTGCTCCGAGTACGGAATGTATGCAGTGTTGGCAGATAGATAGCTGTGTAGCCTATATACTGCCTGTATGTTGCCTTTAAACTAAACAAATCATCGAGTTTTATAATTTAGTCTAAAATCATGTACATGAAACCATGTTTGTGAATCTCAGTATTCTTAACGTGGCCATACGTCCCGCTTTACAGCAAGTTTGTCCTGCTGTCCCCTTAGTCAGCCATGGGTTCGCCTAAATGTTCCGCTTTGGAGGTCAGACGTTTGAAATATTATATATAAAGAATATGAAATTTCCCCTTTTATTATTCACCCAATTACAACTTGTTAGTATTTTTTTGTTGGCTCAGGCGACCCATCCTTGCGTCACTGAGGATTAGTCTAAAGAAGTTTTCATAAAAAGCACATCTTTAGAGTACTGTTTGGGTTTAAAATGTCAGGAGGGTGCAACATAATGCTTTAGTATAACTCACAGCATTTAATAATAGTTTATCAATTTACTTACTGATTCTATTTTTCCTTAGGGAAAGTACTCTTAAAGATTTTGGTCCATTGAGAGATGAACTTGGGATTGCTGTGAGACTGTTACGGTCCAACCACAACTCCTGAAAAATAGTCAATGTGAATTACAACTTAATGGACATAGGAAGAAGAAATCCATATAATACCCATAATTTATCTGGGAGACCGTTTTAATACTCATTCTTGAACAAGCTACCTACATGTTCATTAAATATTTTTCAACGTTTTTAAAACCCTTGATTTGAAGTATATAACAAGAAAATGTTTAACTTAATGTAATATTACAAATTGTTTTTAAATTTATTAATTTGGTATAAAATATAACGTCATGTCCATAAAAAAACTTGTTGACCACAAGTCTTAGTGGCAGTCAACATCTAGAAGTCTCACCGCACTGACCTTAATTTTTGGACAGCAGAGTATTGTAATAGCTTGTGTAATACGTAAAAATCCTTAAAACAAAAAATACAAGATGTCACAGAATTCCACAAAACTCAGCTGCTCCTGTACCTAATACGTTTACAGCTCACCATTAAATTGTCACATCCCTTCAAAAGGCCTTCCTCAATGCCTTTGATCTGGTTTCCGGCCAAGTTGAGTACTCTAAGCTGATCCAGCCCATGAAGCTCACTGCTGCTGAAGATGGGGTTCAGACTGTCTCCCAACAGGTTGTCTGCCAGATGCAACTCTTGCAGACTAGGCAACAATCTGTCTGTAAGGCGACGGAGCGAGTTCCCAGAGAAATCCAGCACTCTTAGCGGCCATCCTAGGGAGCAGCATGATTATAATTACAAACAAAGATAACTATGTGGGTGGAAAATATGCATACAAACCCTACGAAGAAGCCTATAACATGCATTCTCATGAGGATAAATATTGTTCACACTATATAAGGTTTAACCAAAATTTTAAGGATATCCTCTTTTTACCTCGAAGCCTGTTCATGGACAGACACATTTAACCTGTGTATGTATAATGATAATGTGTCAAATAAAACGATCGGTGATTCTGTAGTCAAATAAGATACTAAATAAGTCCTTGGAAATCCATCAATCTATTGAATGACTTCACAAACGACTACTAACTTAACATTTACTTTAGTCTCTCAGTAAAACAGTTTGTTGGTACCGATCAAGAACAAATATGTATTGTGATTAAATTTGAAATCCTAGATTTTATGACCACTCAATACAGAGAACCCGCTTACGTACGTTCTTACTACAAGGGACTTTTGTAACCAAGTACCTCTATCTGCTGTACTTGGCTGCATCGCCTGGTTAACATCTTCTTCTGGGTCTTTAGTTTATTTAGGTTTGATTCTTTTTCTCCTCTTGCTCTTAGTATGTGTCCTGTTCATCTAAGGCGGGTTACACACCGGTGTCGCGGATATGATGTCGCTGATATTGATCGTATCCACGACATGCCCCTCGAAAACCAACCTATGTTATCTTATGGAGCTTTACACACCAGTGTCGCGGACACGTTGTTTGCGACTCGTGTCTCGAGCGAACCAACCGGTCGGTGTTTGGACAGACATGTCTCGTGTCTCTTGGGCCCGCGCATGCGCATAACACGTTTCTAGTAGTTTCGGCACTGTCACTTGGTCTTGGTACTTCTGTTTTGTTTTGTGAGTTGAGTGGTGGGTTTACTCGAGTGGTTATATTATACTAGAGTCAATGTGAATTGACTGGACAACTGATTATCCTTCCAATAAGGATGGGTCCAGAACTCTCTTCTCACATTTACTATTCGTCGTTGTCTTCGTCTCCGTAGCATCAGCAGCAACAACACACCATCTTCTTCAGAGGATGACATCATTGAAACTGATGAAAAACTGAACTGATTCCCTCTCATGTCGCCAGCACGTGTCCCTTCTCCCATGGTTGCATTTTATTACATGTCACAGACATCATGTCCGTGACATCAGAAATATCGGTGACATAATATCCGCGACACCGGTGTGTAACCCGCCTAAATATTCATCAAAAATCTTCAAAAATGTTTAAATTATCCTAGCTAACTCAATGCTAAATCAGGAAGAACGTCATATCAAACTTGAGACTTCAACTATGAAATAACTTTGTTTAACATGAGATAGTTTAAAACAGCTAACGAGTATTGTATATTGATCGTATTTGTATCATACTAATTTAAGACTGACCAGCTTGAGCAAATGCTTGAGTCGGAAGGTTCTGATGACCAACCCATCTCTGAGAGAAGGCGACCACAGGAGCTCGGTATGGCAGAGCAGGGAAATCTCCTGGGAACACAACTCTGTCACAGTCTAGACCAAGATCTCCTTCCTGAAGCTCTTGACAGCGACAGGGATAGCGAAGCTCACGGTGAATCCTGGCACAACCATCTGCTCTGATAGCTGCCACTACAAAGCTGATCACTAGCCATCTGTGGACAAGACATCAGAAACACCTCTTGAATCCATATCAATCCAAGGAGAAATGCTACAAGCAGTTAAATGTAAGAAAAAGTAAAAAAAATAATAATAAATAATAATAAATAATATTTAAAGATGAAAATGTATCAATTTCTTTTAGTGTGAGTTTTCCTTATAGTGAATCAGTGAATTTCCCTAATGAAAGAAGCCATTACCATAGGTGGGAAGGTAAAGCCTAGACCCGGGACTGATTCACTTTTTCATTTTGATGTACACAGAAACTAAAACACTGTTTGTTAGGGTATATTTATGTATGTGTGTGTCCGTGAATACAATAACTTCAGCAGTTAATTTGTGTCTGATTTTTATGAAATTTGGAATGAACGTGTAGGGCTGGATACACTTGAATATTGAATGAATTCAAAAACCAGTAAAATAAGGTCATGAGAACTGCTCAAAAATAGTTTTTTTTTTATCAATTGTTTACCCTTAAAACAGGAAATCGTCCAATGTTTATAACAGACATCATGTAGAGCTTAGAAATAATAATTTTGTATAGGTATTGAAACGGTGTTGACAATCAAAGGTTATGTAAAATATAAAAAAATAAACTGCACATTTATAATTGTCATTTTATTCTTATGGAGATAAAGTAAATTCTAGTTGTATGATAATTTGATGGCCGAGTGGTTAGAGGGCAGGAGGGGGATCCTGGAAATCCCGGGTGTCAGCATTGTTTTTGTATGAAAATGCCATGGCCCTTATGAATGGTTTGAAACCCACCATAAGCTCAAAGTGTTATCTAGAATACAAAAATGGATATATATATATTGTGTAAATGCAAAGGGATCAAACAAATCACCACTGCAGCCTGTAAAGGTATTAAATGTATTACCCCCGGACCCCCCCCCCAAGCCCCCCGGTAGCCCCCCCCCTTGACAAGGTCCTAGAACCACCACTGGCTGTTATAATTAATAACTGTACCGTCTGTATTGGGCTGCCAAATACGAGTTCAGTCAACTTTAAGACTGTGTGAACCTTTGACTATACAAGTATTGCCGGGCCGGGGAACTACGTCTCCCTCTTTGTTATGTTTGACACAAAAATACTGACTAGTTATTGTCAAACAGATTTTCTAAATAAATGTATCTTTATATTGTTGAAAGAAGGATCCCTCACGAACAATCGACCAGCCATGATATGCAAATGGTAAAGTACAATATTCGTCATATTGAGAGCTCGAGGTGACAGTCGGTCCGATGTAGTGCCATCTCGGCCAAGTGCTATCTCGGCCAAAGCCGAATTTCCTAAGAAATGAGTGCTATCTCGGCCAGTGCATATTTACAGTTGATTAAACACACTAAAATTGGTGCTATCTTGGCCATTTTTAAAGACGACATGTTTTCAATTTTGAATGTTTCTAGGCTGTTCCTAGAAATTCCGCGTCCTACTACAATTTGTATAAATTGAACCATAAGACTTTGAGCATTATGCGAAGGCTCATTTTGTTCGTCTGAGAAAGAGGAATAAAACAATTTTGAGTGAACGATCTACGATTTCCGAGTTATCAGTGTTGAAGAGTCTCTTTTATACAACATAATAGCCTGATTTGGATGTTTCCTGAACGTTTCTTGAACTAATTGTTATGATCATCCTGGATCGGTTTAGGAGAGGTGCTGATTTGTGGTTAAAAATAATGTGACTAGCATTTATGATTTAATTGAAAACAAAATTTTAAATTGCACTCACTTTTAATACCCTACTCAAGCGAGATGTGTTCTTTGGATTTAATTTTTCATTTCTTTGTGTTTGTCCAACTTCCTTTATCTCACAACGGTTACACAGTATCTCACAAATGCTAGATGTTGTAGTATCTACAAATTTGCTCTTAGAATTTTCAAGTATTATTTTGAATTTTGTTTCTTACTAAAACTAGTGATTTAAAAAAAATCATTTAAAAAATTATCACATATACTTTTTGAGTTTATTTAGTCTTAGAAGAGATTAACCGCTGTGTAAGCGAAAAATATTTGTATATACTCTTTGAAGTCTTTTGAGCTTTTTTTTCGGAAAAAATATGGGTTTAAAAATCTCTTATTACTTTTTAAGTGCTGAACCAATTTGTTTGTTTTATATCTCGTTTGGGCTTGAATTTAGAAGGAGTAAAGAGAAAGAAGAAGTATATTTTTGATGGACACGCGCATAGGAAAGAGCTACAGAGCAGTTTGAGGTTTCTGGGGACATTAACAAGTTTTTGAGGAATGTTCCTTACTTTATCAAAATGGATTAAACAAGACACGGAAAGCATGATGACATATGCATATGCGGCAGCTATATTTCACATAGTTATAATATCATTTTGTAAATATTATGTAATTGTTTAAAATATGTAAATAAATTTACAAGGCCCAAATGCCGCATTTTGCATTTCCAGACTTGGTTTGTGTTTTAAAATCAAACCTTTTTAGTAATGTGGAATTTGGCTGTTAGATCGCTGAGAATGAGTCAAAACATTCTAGAGAATAGATCTCATGCTGAATTTTATGGTTGTTTCAGTTTTACACCTTGTGTAGTTTTTATTGTTTAGTCCTATTTGCCAACAGCGTTAATTTACATTATTGTTGTACGTTATATTATTGGACTGACTTGATAATATATAAGACTATCAATGAACAGTTTTTGGACAAGATAGCACTAGTCGGTGGTAGGGGATTAACTCACCACCCTTCGTTCCGAGAATTTGGCCGAGATAGCACTTGGCCGAGATAGCACTTGTCCGAGATGGCACGACACGGTCACATAACACACCAACTTGCTGTAACGGACAGACAGAGGTCGATCTTTGTACTGTTATCCCATCCTGTCCCACCGCGTTCTTGGTCAAAGGAAGCTCAAGTTCTCAGAACAGAGTGGAGGCAGTAAACGGTTCACAGGCTCAGAACTAGTTGGTGAAATGATGTGGACGTTTAGAATCGTTACTGTTTAAATGTAACACTTAGTGTTTTGTTTCAGGAATATTTTTCATATTATTCGAAAGCAAAACGTTCTTCAACATTGAATCCGAGGCATGACCGACTAATGTTGCAGCAATTGTTATGGTTATTTAAACGAAGTGATTGATTATAAAACTCAATTCATGTCGTGGAAATAGCGAATAACCAGTCAGCAATGTTTACAAAATGTATTGCTTGAAATGGCAATAGATTTGTGATGTGCCAAAATTCTTCACATGCTGCTGTGTAATTTCCAGCCAGAAAATTCTAGAAATAATTCAAGTTTAGCGCATAAAACCTATGTGAGTAACAACTTTTTTAAGGGGAGGCGGAATTCCTATTTCTGTAATGCTAACGAAAGGTAAGTTTTTGGAAAAACGATATGGCTTATCACTCTGAATTTGTTGTCTATTCTTTGTATACCTTTAATACTTGGCCTGAGTTTTTTTCAGGCTTTTAAACTAATAAATAGCTTGGATAAATATTTTTGAGGTATTAAACATTTTATAATTTCTTGTGGTTTTTATAATTATTATTTTTTTTAATCAAGTAAGGTGGAATTAGCCCCTAAAAAGCTCATTGTGTGTAAAACTATTTGTTACATGTTGTGTAAACATTTGAACTCTCTAACACTATCAGTTCCTGAGAAAAGGTACATTAACATTAAAAAATAACTATTTGCGGAAAACAGCGTATAACTTAGGCCTAGGGTTATAGAAAATATACGTTGTTTTGCCTCCTAAAACATTCCAGCACCATACGAAGGGGTTTCCTCCATAGCTTCTTCAAGTTTAATTTCTTTCTTTCGAAGCTATTGCTGTTCCCATCACCAAGGTAACTTACACATTTATCAAATAGGTATACAAATATTTCAAAACATAAACCTTATTTTAAAAGAAAACGAATTGATAAAATTAAAAGTTCTCGTAGGTATGCATTTGTTTAAGATTTTTAACACGAGTAAAATCTGTTTAGTAGCAAAGTGTTATATATAATTCTGTCCAGAAATAAAAGCTTTATAACTGGGATAAATAATAAAAAATTCAAAAAATAATATTTACCTTAAAGCCTCTCTTCAGAGTAACGCAAATAGGTACTCATTGTTTGTGAAATGAGCCAAATTCAACTTTCAGTACAGTTAGTTATAATAACATTCTAAACTGGTAAAATTAGAATCGTGACGGTCGACTGAGCGACTGAGCGAGGGGTCTCATTAAGGATTGAGAATGGCGCGGAGATAGCGGGTCTGTAATACAGTGGTACAGTGGTACTGTGGTACTGTGGTACTGTGGTTTCATACCTCTATAAATGTAGGCCAACCTCTGCAACTGGGTGAAGGGACCCAAGTCCATTGTCAGCTACAAGAAACTGCCAAAGAGTGAGTGGGTTACCATTCGTCCAATTTGTATTCTAACAATTACTTTTAAAAGTTTAAAACATTTAATAAGACAGGAGTGATGTGTTTGGGGTGTGTTTTGGCGATGGTTGTGCTATAATGCTACACTGCCTGAAGCCCATTGTGGTAATATACGGTGTGTCACTCGCGTATCCTTCGGGAATTTGTCTTTTTCCTACCAACACAACAGAACCCGCGGAAAGAGATAGGGTTGCTCTCAAATATTGAGTCTGACGTTGGTCGGGAGTCAGGCAAGGGGGGTAGCGGATTTTTATCCCCCCTGGAATTTTACCCGCTGGGCAAACGTGACGTCACAAACCAGGGGGTAAAATTCCGGCCGCGAACTTTTGAGTTTCGCGACATCAGTTCGACGGATTAACCGCGGAATTAAACGTATATTTTCACGGTTGTGAATTTTATCAGTACACATCAAATTATAAAAACCTGGAGTGTACTGGCTGGAATTTTACTCCCCGGACTTTTACCCCCTCCATGAGATAAGCTCAAAATGTACGGCCCGGATTTTTAACCCCAGAATTTTACCCCCTGGTCAAATATATAAATTAGTGGGATCGGTTAATTCTCTTCATTCAGTTTTAATTTAATAGTAAACATTTAATTG